TCCTCACGCAAATCTGCACCAACACACTTCAGCAACATGGGCACTGCTTTCTGCTCTACCCTACTGAATCTACCGGTTTGGTGAAGTTCAACGAGGGCTTCGGGGTAAATACTAAGTCGGTCGAGAGGTGATGCGAGTAGCCAACGTGTGTACAACTGTTTCGCCTCACGCAACACATCTCCCCACCACTCACGTGCTCCCTGACTCAACGACGACATGGTGGGACCCAACGTTGCCAGCCAATCACCTGCAGTAATACTGGAGTTAGTAGGATCATACTTGTCAAGTTGAGGAAGCTCAGGCACGTACTTGATGGGGTCTTCAGGTTGCATTTCGGCTTGAGCTCTAAGGCCTGGAGGTGGGGGTGGCCTAATTTCAGTACCTCCTGGGTCACTGGGTACTTCAACCCACTGCTGACACCTACGGCCTTTCGAGCAGGGCTACTTCTACCTCTGTCCTGACCGGGCTGCTTTCTTAAGAAGTCGGGAATGGGTGGAGGCTCACCGGGACGCAAGGCATCTTGATACAGCTGAACATAGTTCTCATACCCAAAGTTACCCATGTCAAGAGGTCCTGACAAGCTTGCAGCAGCTCCTCCAGATTGACGAGCTCTTTGAGGGCTATCACTACGAGTCCTAGGCTCTCGTCCTCGCTTTGGGGATTTATCGGGGGTGACGGGTACGAAGGGTGACCTAGCCCTTGGGTTCAAGACCTCAGCTACGGACACGGCCCTTGCCGGTCGTGTTGGGGCCTGTTTCTCAAGTTTCAATCCTTCGGGCGTGACTCGCCAGGCGTACTTTGACCCTTCCACTTCCACCACACCCGCACTTGGAGCCTGGGCCTGGGCCTCAGTTGGTGGTCCCATTTGACCCCCTCTCCCATCCGACCCCGTCCCAGTTTCCCCAAGGTTAGCCGGCTTGCCTGTCACAGCTGGTGTGCCAACGAACTGAGGAGGAAACACAGCCTTCGGATGTGGCTCAGGGACACTAGAGCTTGCACCTGCAGACGATGACGATGCTTTGGAGCTCTCCAGCTTATCCATTCGCTCCACCAAAGACTGTTGGCCTTGCATCAGTACCCGTAGCATTGACGCCAGATCGCCAAAGGGATCTGTAGCCACTGGCTGTACTGGAACCAGTTCGCGATCATCTTCCGCTTTGATAGCTCCACGTTCCATGGCCGAAAACTCGCTGTAACCTGTAACGCTAAAATGTCCAGGCGATGCTTCTCTGGCAACTTGTGCCTCCGGTTCCTGTGGCTGTGTCGCCAGCGCAACAGGGTCAATACGAAGTACTTCTGCATGACATGGAGCTAGTTCATGAGGCACATCATTCCTGGCTGTGCTTGCTGCGGCCTCAGGAGTTTCCTGGGCTTGAGGTCCAAGCTCATATGGCGGTTCACGTTCTGACTCATCGCCTTCCCTAATGGCTGCACCTCGTTCCCCAGGGTCGTCCTGCACGACCTGTTGTGCACGGCGAAATTCCTGCTGTACTGCATCTGACCAGAAAGGGTTCGGGAAGTTTGCCATGGCAAGGTCTACTTTCTACAGGGCCCTTTTACTTAGCGTTGGGCTCATAACCCTCGTGTGGGCAGGAAGCTCCACAGCGGGGTTACGCAGGGTTCTCTTTTCCACCAAGCAGGAACAACACAACAAACAACATCTGAGTTCTTGTCCTATGACATCTTCAGTAGTACTGTACACTATACATGTGGACTTCTCTCGTTGTATGCTATACATGTTGACTACTATCGAAAAAATAAGTCCTGCAGGTGGCAAGGGCTCCTGTGCTGTAGACCTTGAACCCATGCCACAAACCAGCTGCTGAGTCATCCGCGAGGGTTTAGGGTTTAGGGTTTAGGGTTTAGGGTTTAGGGTTTAGGGTTTAGGGTTTAGGGTTTAGGGTTTAGGGTTTAGGGTTTAGGGTTTAGGGTTTAGGGTCTAAAGCCCTAAAAACCTAAACCGTTGCTTTGTTCGGCTCGTCTTGCAGGCTACAGTCTGAGGGTTTGGGGTTTAGGGTTTGAGGGGTTCAGGTTTTGGGGTTTAGGGTGTAGGGCTAGGGTTGCAAGAGGACAGCCCCGCGAAGATCAAAAACGTCTCATTCTCAGCATTTCCCCCCCCTCATCCACCCTCACGAACCGCCCCGACACCCAAAACCTACCTGGGAAGACCTCAGCCCCAACCACCAAAACATCCTGAAACCCTCAACCCCCGCACCCTAAACCCTGAAACCCCCTAAACCACAACCCCCCCTAAACCCTAAACCCCCCTGAAGCTAGACCTTAAAACCCGAAACCTAAACCCCTAAACCCTAAACCCTAAACCCTAAACCTCCCAAACCCTAAACCCTAAACCCTAAACCCTAAACCCTAAACCCTAAACGCCCCTAACCCTAAACCCTGAACCCTAAACCCGTTCAACCAGCCCTCCAGACTCAGGAGTCCGGCTTGAGAAGATCCAGTGTCCGCAAAGGGGGCCGGTCACCTGGAGGTTGTCTCAAGCTAGGATTTGGGGTTTAGGGTTTAGGGTCTGGGGTTTAGGGTTGAGGGTTTAGGGTTTAGGGTTTAGGGTTTAGGGTTTAGGGTTTCGGGTTTGGGGCTTCGGGTTTAGGGTTTAGGGTTTAGGGTTTTGGCTTTTGGGTTTAGGGTTTAGGGTTTTGGGTTTAGGGTGTCGTGCACAAGGTTCTGTCAAGTGACCACGGCGACGCCCAGCGTAAGGCACAGGTAGGTGTACCTGCCGCAAGGGAGGGTAGGAGGTGGTTTGGGGTTTCGGGTTTAGGGTTTAGGGTTTAGGGTTTAGGGTTTAGGGTTTAAGGCTTAGGGTGCTCCATTTGGTGGAGTGAGGAGGAAACGTGCGTTTGAGGGACTACAGCCAGGGGTATGAAAGGAGGATCCTACCCGTTCTTGGAAACTCCCACGTCAAAACCAAGCAGAGAGGCCCTTGAGCCCTACACTTTGGCAATTCTAAAAACCCAAAATCCCAAAATCCCTAAACCCCTGAAACCCATCAAACTCTAAATCCCCTAAAGCCCCTAAAACCCGCAAAGCCCCTGAAACCCTCAAGCCCTAAAGCCCCTCAAGCCTCTTAGAGCCTGGTCACCTTCTCCGAAAACATGTCGGTTGGCAAGTGGGGTTGAAAAAGGCGTGCAGGATGCGTCGCTTGGCACGTGCTTCAATTCGGGTGTCTCGTTGTGTTTGGTAGGGCGGGGGGATCCTGGTTTTCAAGGGGTTCGTGGCTCAGGTGAAACCCTGACCCGAAACCCTAATCCTAAACCCTAAACCCTAAACCCTAAACCCTAAACCCTAAACCCTAAACAAAACCCTTAACCAGAGCCCCCAAAGCAACACTTCGGGGTTTAGAACAACACCCGCAGCCACCATCATCACTGCGCCCCCAGCAGGCGTCCCCCTGCGCGCCAGGTCGGCTCGGGAATGCGGAATCGGGCGTACACGGCGGCTCCCACACCTTGGAGGGTTTAGGGTTTAGGGTTTAGGGTTTAGGGTTTAGGGTTTAGGGTTTAGGGTTTAGGGTTTAGGGTTTAGGGCTTAAGGTTTAGGGTTTAGGGTTTAGGGTTTAGGGTTTAGGGTTTCGGGTTTCGGGTTTCGGGTTTAGGGGTATTCTTACTTGGAGGTTCATGGTACTTGTTATCCAATGATCATACAAGTGTACTGCTAACCATGTTAGGGCACTTAAGGGGCTGATAAGTGGGTTAGAAGTACAGGTATGACTGGTTAATAAGTACCATGAACCTCCAGGCAAGAATAACCCTAAACCCTAAACCCTAAACCCTAAACCCTAACCCTAAACCCTAAACTCTTATGGGGATGTATGCAAACAAGGTTGCGGCTGCTGTGCGCTTAAGGCCACGGCTGACAACCCATGCCAGGATGAACCCCACGATGATGAGGTCGACCGTGTAGGGAAAGAGGTACCTGGCAGTTTAGGGTTACAAAGGGGTTTGGGGTTTAGGGTTTAGGGTTTAGGGTTTAAGGTTTAGGGTTTAGGGTTTAGGGTTTAGGGTTCTCACCGAGGTTGCTAGACACGCGCTTGCACCGAAGCTCAACGAAACAAGCACCGCCAAAGTGGGGACTTCACTGGCCCCAACACCAACCCTGAACCCTAAAACCCTGAACACTGAACCCTAAACCCTAAGCCCTAAGCCCTAAGCCCTAAACCCTAAACCCTAAACCCTAAACCCTCACACGCCAAGGTCCAGGAGGGGCACTTAATGCGAAAGGCTGTGAGCCAGCAGGTGGCCACAAAAGCCGCCCAAGGCCTCAGCCCGCTGAGGCTCAACGGGGTTTAGGGTTTAGGGTTTAGGGTTTAGGGTTTAGGGTGTAGGATTTAGGGTTTAGGGTTTAGGGTTTAGGGTTTAGGGTTTAGGGTTTAGGGTTTCGGGTTTCGGGTTTCGGGTTTAGGGTTTAGGGTTTATAGGGTTTATAGGGTTTAGGGTTTAGGGTTCAGGGTTTAGGGTTTAGGGTTGAGGGTTTAGGGTTTAGGGTTTAGGGGCTTATGTTTGTATGGTTCAAGGTTGACTTTGGGGCCAGGGCTCACCATCAGGTCGGGGTTTATCACGTGTCCTTGGAGATGCCAACAGTGGGGGGGGGGGATAAATGAATCCAGTAGAGGGCTTAAAGTGTAGGATTTTGGAGCACGCTGTACAAAAGCATTGCTGTTTAAATCACATCGACCAGCAATCTAGACCGGAGGCTAGGCTAGAGTACCACTGCTACCTGTCGACAGCATTTCTGTTCAAGGCAACGGACCACGAACTCAAAAACTCCCGTTTTACAAGGACCCCAATAAGGTACCCCAATTTCGGAAACCACCCGTGTATACCCTAAATGGAATAGAATCCCCCCAAGAAAGGGTACCCCTGTCTTCGGAAACCACCAAATGGCCCTAAACCCCTAGACCCTAAACCCTAAACCCTAAACCCTAAACCCTATAGGCCCTAAAGATGCACAGCCCCCGCGGTCCTTTTTGCCCGTGCCCGCGTAGGCTACGAGCTCTTAGTCTTGGCCAAGGCTGTCGAGATGAGCTCATCACCTTGGCACCACCAGCGAGGACAAGATCGGAAAACGGTTGTTTAGGGGGTTTAAGGGGGTTCAGGGGGTTCAGGGGGTTCGAGGGGGTTTAGGGGGTTTAGGGGGTTCAGGGGGTTTAGGGTTTAGGGTTTAGGGTTTAGGGTTTAGGGTTTAGGGTTTAGGGTTTAGGGTTTAGGGTTTAGGGTTTAGGGGTTAGGGTTTAGGGTTTAGGGTTTAGGGTTTATGGGGCTTAGGGTTTATGGGGCTTTAGGGGTTTAGGGGTTTAGGGGTTTAGGGGTTTAGGGGTTTAGGGGTTTAGGGGTTTAGGGGTTTAGGGGTTTAGGGGTTTAGGGGTTTCGGGGTTTAGGGGGTTAGGGGCTTAGGGGTTTAGGGGTTTTTAGGGGTTTAGGGGTTCAGGGTTTATAGGGTTTAGGGTTGAGGGTTTAAACCAACACCCAAAAAACCCAAAACCGTGAACCCGCTGCCCCAAACCCTAAGCCCCTAAACCCTAAACCCTAAACCCTAAACCCTCTACCTTGCAGGCTACCAAGACACTGAACTCCCAAAGACGTCTTGCAAACTCGTCGTTGAAGGCTTGAGCGTGGCGGGGCCTGGAACGTACTGCGGGCTTTGATTCGTTCAGGGCTTAGGGTTTAGGGTTTAGGGTTTAGGGTTTAGGGTTTAGGGTTTAGGGTTTAGGGTTTAGGGTTTAGGGTGTAGGGTTTAGGGTGTAGGGTTTAGCGTTTAGGGTTCAGGGTTTAGGGTTTAGGCTTTAGGGTTTAGGGTTTAGGGTTTAGGGTTTAGGGTTTAGGGTTTAGGGTTTAGGGTTTAGGGTTTAGGGTTTAGGGTTTAGGGCTGAGGGTTTAGGGTTTAGGGTTTAAGGTTAACCAGGTTAAGGCTTAAGGTTTCGGGCCTGTAGGAAATGAAGGACAGTCGCTATGAAATAGTCCTTGCACAGACCCCCTAATCCTTCACTCTCTACGAACGAAGTTATGTGCCGTTTTGGGGTTTCGGGTTTCGGGTTTAGGGTTTAGGGTGTCGGGTTGAGGGTTTAGGGTTTAGGGTTTGAGGATCCGCCCATGATACGGAGCCATTGCCAAGATTTATATAGGACACCCACCAAGCGCCCATAATTTAGAGAAAATGCCAAATAGGATCAGCTCGTCGTCCGTTTCAACTTCGAAAGGGGGTTTGCGGGTTAAGGTTTAGGGTTAGGGGTTCAGGGTTTCGGGTTTAGGGTCTAGGCCTTCGGGTTGCTATGGGCTTAGGGTTTAGGGTTTCGGGTTTAGGGTTCAGGGTTTAGGGTTTAGGGCTTAGGGTTTAGGGTTTCGGGTTTAGGGTTTAGGGTTTAGGGTGGGAGGGGGAGCGCAGGGGGTTTAGGGCGGAGGGAAACGCTGCCAAGGGGCGGATATGCGGTTGCGATGGGCACGATGAGCTTGCCACGAAGGGCTTGCAACTGCAGGACAGGGCTCCATGCTCTTTGCATTTTTTGGGGGGGGGGGGGGGATAATTGAACATGAAACGTCCACAAGTCGGGCGTCAGGAAACTTGGATGGCAACCCCCCAAAACCCGAAACCCCAAACCCTAAACCCTATGCGGAGCTGCAGGTTGTATTCAGGAATTGTATGGAGGTTTAAAGAAAACGGTCAATGCACCCGGGGATCTTTGGCTCAAGGATGGCCTGGATCCATCCGCTAGCAGTTGAAAAGTTAGAGCGCCTGGGTTTGGGGTTTGGAAGTAGGAGTCCTTCCCTTTCCCTCTTGGTGGTTCGGTATTGTAACCCTGTGGGTTGGTCTGTTTTCTGGTTCTTTCTGGGGAATCCATATAGGCGACTGTTGAGGGTTGAGATTCTTCTTTTTCCCCTTTCGGTTGCCCCCGTACCCTAAACCCCAAGCTCGCGCAAGTCCTCCACAATGGGCGAGGCTGCGCAGAAGAGCAGGTTGAGCGCGGCCTACAGGAGAAGGGTTTAGGGCCTTCTGGGTTTAGGGTTTAGGGTTGAGGGTCGAGGGTTTAGGGTTTAGCTGCCTGCATACGCAAAAAGAAGTGCAGCTTGCAACTCCGATGATGGCTGAACCCTAGCCCATAAACCCTAAACCCTGAAAGGGGAGAACAGGTCGCCACGCTCTCAGAACCCGAGCTCCAAACCCCGAAACCCTCATTAAACCCTAAACCCCAAAACCGCTTTAAAGCCCTCAAAGCCCTAAAGGCCTTCAACCTAAACCCCTAAACCCGAAACCCTAATCCCTAAGCCCTAAACCCTAAACCCTTAACCCTAAACCCTAAACCCGAAACCCCAAGCCCAGGTTGGGCCTCCCCTGCGCCATAGGCAAAGAGACGATTCCGCAGCTGCGCGGCGCGAAAAGCCCAAGCGCCCAGGAGAGGGCCCAACATGGCCTGCGGCTTAGGGTTCATAGGGTTTAGGGTTTAGCGTTTGGGGTTTAGGGCTTAGGGTTTAGGGTTTAGGGTTTCGGGTTTAGGGTTTCGGGTTTCGGGTTTAGGGTTTCGGGTTTAGGGTTTCGGGTTTAGGGTTTCGGGTTTAGGGTTTAGGGTTTAGGGTTTAGGGTCTAGGGTTTAGGGTTTAGGGTTTAGGGTGTCGGGTTCAGGGTCTAGGGTCTAGGGTTTAGGGTTTAGGGTGTCGGGTTTAGGGTTTAGAGCTTAGGGTTTAGGTTTAGGGTTTAGGGTGTAGGGTTTAGGGTTTATAGAAATTGTATAGGGTTTGGGTCCCAATAACGTTTTGAGCGAAACGTTTTGAGCGAAAGTTTTGAGCGAAAGTTTTTTTTAGATATTCGGGTTTAGGGGTCGGCGTGGGGAGGGGGGCAAGGGGGTGGGTGGAGGGTGGTGCGGCAGGGGGGGGCGGGGGGGGGGAATGGGCGATGAATTTAATATTCAAATGGAATATCGAATATAGAGTGCGGGGGAATGGGCGAAGAAATTGAGATTCAAATGGAACATCTGGCCGTGTACGCACTGCAGCGGGCGGTGAAAAATGTTTCTATGGGCTCGATGCTTTGTCCCCCATTTGGTCCCAGGTCACATCTAACCTGCAAAGGGAAGATCAAAGGCAAACCTGATTGAGTGAGAACAGTCTGGGCCAGGGACGGAGAAATGCCCAACAACCTCGCCGTGTCCTTCACGTCCCTGAGGTGAGGGGGAGGGGCGGGAGGGGGAGGGGAGGGGGGGAGGGAGGGGAGGGGGGGAGGGGAGAGGTTCAAGTAAATTGAGCATTTGGCAGCAGAAGTGTTTTGGATTCATTTACTTAAACTCAGCTTGTCAGCTGTTTAGACAAATGACTTGGAAAATTCAAATGAGACCACATACAATTTCCATTTATTTGATCTTGAGGGTTGAGGGTTGAGGGTTGAGGGTTTAGGGTTTAGGGTTTAGGGTTTAGGGTTTGCTGGTCGGGCGTAGATGCTGTGAAGGTTAGGTTTGGAACAGGCTCGAAAGCTTCGTGAGGCGCGAAGAGCAGCTTTGGCCCGATTGTGGAAGGCCATCTAACACTTTCTCCCACCCCACGCCGTCCGAGGCGGCAAAGCCACCCAAACCTTTTAGGATTTAAGCCTAAACTCAAGCCAACTGCTTACTTTCCATAAAACGTCCTCGTTTGAAGGGCTTAAGCGCCGCCCCCCAACGTAGGGGGGCGGCCTAGGCCCTGAGTTTAGGGTTTAGGGTTTAGGGTTTAGGGTTTAGGGTTTAGGGTTTAGGGTTTAGGGTTTAGGGTTTAGGGTTTAGGGTTTAGGGTTTAGGGTTTAGGGTTTAGGGTTTAGGGTTTAGGGTTTAGGGTTCAGCAGCTCCGGATCGAGCAATTTTATGGTAGTGTTATATTTACGGCTTGGATATAACACCCACCCACCCAGAGAATCCCATAACATTAAGAAACCATATATAAAGTATCTTCATACAAAAGTTCTTTTCAACGAAGACTACGGCTAAAGAACAAATTCGTTCTTAAAAATCCGCATTGCATCACACAAAGATGAGCATTACAAGAAAAAGGGTTGGGGTGGGGGTGGCGTCGGGGGCTGGGGGGGGGGTGGGGGGGGGGGTGAGGGGGGGTGGAGGCCGGTGGCGGGGGGAGCGGGGGGACGCCAAAGAAGATATCATAGACCTAGCCACGAAGGAAATTACCCTTAGCCACGAAGAAATTACCCTTAGCCACGAAGAAATTACCCTTAGCCACGAAGGAAATTACCCTTAGCCACGAAGAAATTACCCTTAGCCACGAAGGAAATGACCCTTAGCCACGAAGAAATGACCCTTAGCCACGAAGAAATGACCCTTAAATGACCCTTAACGCCCAGGAAATGGCCCTTAGCGACCAAGAAATTGCCCTTAGCGAGAAAATTGCCCTTAGCCACGAAGAAATGACCCTTAGCCACGAAGAAATGACCCTTAGCCACGAAGAAATGACCCTTAGCCACGAAGGATTATAGGGTTGAAATATATAAAAAATATATATATAAAAAATACAGAAAGAGAGGTTTAGGGTTTAGGGTTTAGGGTTTAGGGTTTAGGGTTTAGGGTTTAGGGTTTAGGGTTTAGGGTTTAGGGTTTAGGGTTTAGGGTTTAGGGTTTAGGGTTTAGGGTTTAGGGTTTAGGGTTTAGGGTTTAGGGTTTGGGGTTATTTGAAGCCTCGAAGTTGTCCCTCCGCAGCATCTCCTGGGGGTGCAGGGACACAGGGTTTAGGGTTTAGGGTTTAGGGTTTAGGGTTTAGGGTTTAGGGTTTAGGGTTTAGGGCTTAGGGCTTAGGGCTTAGGGCTTGGGGTCTAGGGTCTAGGGCTAGGGTTTAGGGTTTGGGGTTCAGAGTTTTGGGTTTAGGGATTGAGAGTTTCGGTACGGATTTTGAGTTTGGGTTTTAGGCCAAAGGAAACTACTGACCCTACAAAGCCCTTCAAAGACCCGAAAAGCCTCAACCCCTTCAACCCTATTCACCCCATCGAAACCCTGTCAGACCCTACAAACCCCAAAACAAACCCATAATTACATTCCATAAACCCTATAAGCCCTACAAACCAGCAACACCAAACCCCAAACCCGCAAACCCCCAAACCCTAAACCCTAAACCCCAAACCCCAAACCCCAAACCCCAAACCCCAAACCCTAAACCCTAAACCCTAAACCCCACCTCCTGAACCCTTCGCACCCCCCGGAGCGCTCCGTCGCGACCACACCCGGATGCACCGCGTTGCTGTAGAGTCCGAGCTGGCCGAAACGCCTGTGAAGCAAAGGGTTTGGGGTTTGGGGTTTGGGGTTTAGGGTTTAGGGTTTAGGGTTTAGGGTTTTGGGTTTGGGGTTTAGGGTTTGGGGTTTAGGGTTTAGGGTTTAGGGTTCGGGGTTGGGGGTTTAAGGTGTAGGGTTTAGTAAGTGTTTGGGGTTTAGGGTCAAGGGTTTAGGGTTTAGGGTTTAGGGCTTAGGGTTTAGCGTTTAGTGGTTTAGGGCGTTTGGGTGCAAGGTTGGGGGGATAAAGCAAGTTTGGGAGAGGAGCTTGAGGAACTTAGAGGGATTTTGGAGGTGCAGGGTTCGGTGGGTTACGGGGTTGAATTTTGAAAGTTTAGTCAGTTTTGTTGCCGTGCGCGACGGGGGGGGGGGGGGGGGGTCTCGTTCCAAAATCCGAAAGCGCTGCCTTCTCTTCTAAACCCTACACCCGAAACCCTACACCCTAAACCCCAAACCCCAAACCCCAAACCCTAAACCCTGAAGGCCTGTCAATCTCTTGGGAGAAGAGGAGGTTGGCTAACTTGGCCATGCCATATCTTGCCTTGGCACTTCACCGGTGTAAGGTTTGGGATTTCAGGCAGTTTCGGGGGTCTAGGGTTCACCAAGGGGGGTAGGGCTCCTTTCACAAAACCCACCGCTGAGCCGGAGGCTCCTAAATTTGGGGCGTGGCAATTCCCGTTTCGGGTCGACCGCATCTTCCTAAGAAAGCGCTCACCCAAAGAGCGACTTAAGCGACTTAGGGCTTAGGGTTGAGGGGTTTTGGGTTGATTCCTTAGGGCTTCGGGTTCAGGGTTTAGGGTTGAGGTCTCTGGGACTGGCCAGACAAGAGTGGCGTAGGGGCCCATGGCGTCCTTGTCGTTGATGCCTCGCGGTGGAGCACACGGGGGAGCGCAGAGATGGATTGTACACAAACCCCAAAACACGCTGAAACCTGGGGGACACAGGGTTGCCTTTGCTGGGGGGTCAGTCTTCATGTTGAAGGAGTTTAGGGTTTAGGGTTTAGGGTTTAGGATTTAGGGTTTAGGGTTTAGGATTTGGGGAGCTTCCGCCTTCTAGCGAGAGGGGCACGCCGTCGGCGGGCGCGCCCCGGTGTGCGCCGGACGTGAGGTGAACTAGCCGCCTCAGGGTTGGTTTATAGGGTTTCGGGTTTAGGGTTCAAGGTTTGGGGTTTAGGGTTTAGGGTTTAGGGTTTAGGGTTTCGGGTTTTGGGTTTAGGGTTTAGGGTTTAGGGTTTAGGGTTTAGGGTTTAGGGTTTAGGGTTTAGGGTTTAGGGTTTAGGGTTTAGGGTTTAGGGTTTAGCCCCAACTACCGCCGGGGAACGAAGGAGACGATCTTTCCAGAAGTGGCAGCAGGCGAGTCGTGAGAAGGAAGTGGCTCAGGAAGTTAACCTCCCGGCCAGGGCTGGGACCCTAAACCCTGAACCCTAAACCCTAAACCCTAAACCCTAAGCCCTAAACCCTGAACCCTGAACCCTGAACCCTGAACCCTGAACCTTTGAACTCTGGCTTGAGGGTGCCCTGCCCCTGGAACTTTCATGTATCTAAAGCGCGAGGCCCTGAGTCTTGAACAGCGGAAGACCATGAACCATCAATATGGGCAGTTCTCTAAAAACGGGTGCCCTAAACTCTAGACCCTAAACCCGAAATCCTCTTTGGGTCCTTGTTCTCCGGGCGGCGTACTATATGTACGTAAGTCAGAGAGCTACCCCTGTCTCCGCAAGCTTGGGCCTATTGAAACCCAAGATCCTCAGGCTCCATCCTTACACATGCCAAGCCACACAAAATGATTTCTCGCTTTGATCAACGTCTTCATTATCCCGGCATGGCCTCCGAACCACTCCGCAAAGGATAGCCATAGCACTTAAAATATTCTTTGCCCATTGAATTTGGCTATGATTCAAATTGTTGTGTATGATAAATCATTCTGTTACGTCCGATTTGAAAAAAAAACAGAGCCAAGATGTCTGAATCGAAGCTACTAAAATTTCAAGCTTTGGCTGCTGAGCATTGATACCTATAAATTTTCCAAGGTCTAGAAGATCTTTGACACTAGCACTAGGGGTTGAAAATCAGTCGTCAGAAGGTTTAGGATTTCGCGCTCAGGGCCTTATAGGGGACTTTAACGCAAATCGAACAGAAGAAGCAGCAGGACCCCAAACCCTAAGCTACCCTAAGCCCGAAACCCCCAAAGTCTGAACCTGCCAAACCTCCCAAACCTCCCAAACCTCCCACCCCAGCTCTAAACCCTAAACCCTAAACCCTCAACCCCAAAAGAAGGAAGCCTGGAAAGTGGTCTCGATACCATCTCGGGTCAGACTGTGCGGAAACTGGGTCGCGACGCCCGCGTTGTTCACCTCGACCACCGAGTTTGGGTCTTCGGGCTAGCCCTAAACCCTAAACCCTAAACCCTGAACCCTAAACCCCAAACCCTGAACCCTGAACCCTGAACCCTGAACCCTAAACCGAGCCGTCACCAAAGCAAAAACCGAAACCCGCCGCAGTACCCACCCCCCAAGACCCGCCGCAACCGCCCCCCCCCCCCCCCCCCCCCCCCCCCCCCCCCCCCCCCCCCCCCCCCCCCCCCCCCCCAAAAAAATAAAAATAATAAGGAGGCACCAATAGTTTTGAAAGCCTCTCGAAGCCTCGGGGGGGTACGGTTTAGGGTTTTGGATTCTAAGGGTTCAGGGTTGAGGGTTTAGGGTTCTACTTTTTATAAACGTTGGGACCGCTGCTTACCTGTTCAAGCTGGACGAGAATCTTAACAGTAGTAAGCAGCAAATTCGCCCAGACTCTTCGCCCAAAACCGCCCCCAAAACTCCGCACGCAAACCCTGAATAAAGAAAACAACAACAACAACTGTTATACTTCGAACATCCCCACCTTAGCACTCCAGGGTCTCTGGGGTTGGGCACTCCAGGGAGTCTCTGGGGGTGGGCACTCCAGGAGTCTGGGTGTTTCTGGGGTTGGGCACTCCAGGGAGTCTCTAGGAGTAGACCGGGCGAGGAGAAGAGTTCCAGGCGAGGAGAAGAGTTGAGTTTAAAATCTAACAACCCCACACCGAAGGTGGGGAATAGCTTGCCCAAAACTTTCGCCCAAAACTGCCGCCCAAAACCCGCCCAAAACTCCGGACACAAACGCTATACAGTTTCTATAAACCCGAATTGTTGCGACTCGGTGTCGCCTTTTGCCCTGACACCAGACTGGGAGCAGACAGCAGCCATACCCTTTCCGACGTGCTTAGGAGGAGCCAGAGTGTAGAGACTTGAAAACCCTAATTCCAAAAACCCTGAACCAAAAACGACCTAAACCCGAAATACTCTTACCCCTAAACCGAAAAACCCCAAACCCTAAACACCCTAAACCCTGAACACCCTTAACCCTACACACCCTAAACTCTGAACACCCTAAAAACCCTAAACCCTAAAAAACATAAACCCTGAAAAAGCCTAAACCCCCTGATTAAACCCTTCTTGCACCCTTCTGAAACCCCGATTAAACCCCTGTTCAACGCTTATTCAACCCTTGCTAAACCCTGATTTAAACCCTTATAAATGCTCGTTAGGCCCTTATAAAATAAACCCACTTATTAAACGCTTGTGAAGCCCTTAGCAAACCCTTCATACTCCATTCTCGAACCCTTATGAGGCACCGTTACTGCTACAACAACTCATGCCAAATGCAACCACATGCACCACGGACGGTGATTCTAACACTCATCCCTTATTCAACCCTTATTCAAGCCGCATTCAACCCTTCTTCGTCCCTTTTTCAAATCTTATATATGGAACCCTTATTGAACCCTGACCTGGGGGGGGGGGGGGGCTGGGGATTGAAGTGTAAGGGTTCAAAGATCTGGGCTGCTTCACTAATTGCTTCTGGAGGGGGGTTGACCCTTAGTAAACCCTTACAAAACCCTTACTAACACCCTAAACCCTCCAAACCATAAACCCTATACTCTTTAAGAGGTATATCACACATCCACAAATCAAAGTCAGGTTCATGCGGTGAAAAGTACCCTAAATAGTTCAGGTTGTAACCATAGTTGCCCTCCTTGTAGCCCTACTTATAAGCAACCAGGAACCTCGGTTGAGGCACCAAAGTTTGAAGAACTTACATATCGCCCTGTGATCTCAACTTGTGGGTCCTCGTATGCTGCAGAGGGCAGCTCAGCCCCCAGACGCCTTAAGCGCCCCCATACCCCGATGGTTTGGAGAAACCCGCTCTAGAACACTTCAGGGAGTTTTCAAAAAAGATTTGGGGGGGGAGGGGAGAGGGGGTCTCCCTTGTTGTCTTCAATCTTCAAGAATTCCCCTTACAAGGACCCTTAACCCCTTGGCCCTTAAGCATAAAACCCTAAACCCTAATCCCGAATCCCTAAACCCTAAACCCTAAACCCCAAACACCAAAAAACCCTAAACCCTAAACCCCAAACCCTAAACCCTCAATCCCTACTTCTGTCCCAGGCGGCCAGGATGTGCAACGCCGGGAGCTGGGCCAGCCGCGCTGCCACCTGCTCCACCTGACGAAGGTCCTTGGATGGAGCCGAGGGTTGTGAGTTGGGTTTAGGGTTTGGGGCTTTGTAGGGTTTAGGGTTTAGGGTTTAGGGTTTAGGGTTTAGGGTTTAGGGTTTAGGGTTTAGGGTTTAGGGTTTAGGGTTTAGGGTTTAGGGTTTAGGGTTTAGGGTTTAGGGATTAGGGTTAGGGTTTAGGGATTGGGACTCTGAAGTTCTAAA